CCGTCAGTGGTGAGGAGAAGTGAGAACCGACTGATCCTGATTTGAAATTTTCAATATTGCGCATTTCTGACATCTATGTTTCATTCTCATTTTAGTGTTTAAAAAAACACACTTTTCAATTAAATTTTTTTCTTAAGTAAGTTCCCATGGAGTATAAAGGAATGAACGCAGTGATTAAAGTATAATTAAACATTAATTCATGTTTAATGCATGAAAAGATAATTAAAGTTCTTTTAATGATTAATTTATGTGCACTGAAGGTTTACGCATTATTAGAACGTGCAGAGATAAAGTTGCAAATGTGGGCGGAGTGCGGAATACAAAAAGAAAAAGAAAAAAGAAATAATGGAATAATGGACGACAGAGATGAAAAGAAATTGGACAAATTGAATCAAAATCAATAAATCGTCATTTAAGTTATAAGTTTAATTTCGAGTGACCTAGCATGCAAAGATGGCAATGCCCGATTCACAATGGTGCCATTCAATGCTTAGTCTAACTAAGTATGAATTAGATATCAATGTTTACGATAAAAGAAAACTAATCATTTTCAAATGAGGGTTTTTTAAAAAAAGTGACTTGCGGATTTCTAATGCTGGAAAACTTATAGAAATTAAGAATTAGGAAATAAAACTATGGAAAAATAACAAAATCTTCCATGTGATATTTATCAGCATATAAATTTGTCAAGGGTACCGTTGTAAATCCCATCCTTGCAATTACGCTGACAATCCATTGAAAAAAAAAATCCAGAGACCAGATAAAATTAATAGTGAGACATGATTTAACAGCGTAGACTAAGTTGAACCACTTCTCCAGCTCCCGGCACAAAAACTTCGAACCTAAGACATGGTTTAAATACTTTTCTGTATTCATTAAATCTGGTCTCAGACCGAACAGAAAATGCTAAAACAAAATCCTTGTTGAAAAGAAATTGGCTCTCATAATTCCCGCTTTGTAAAAAAAAAGCATGGTGTCACTCTTGGCTATGACTTTTTCATCAGTTTTTATTTTCATTTAAATTAAATCTAGTTGAAGTTTTCATTTGGGCTATGAACACAATTAGTAAGCCTGGGAACTCAAATAGGTGTTTTAAGTTTTTTTAACAAGAGCTAAAATCTCCTGTCTAGATTTTAAGATCTTAAAGTCGACCTTACTTTAATTATATTTAATGTGAAGTTACTTTAATAATACTTTTTTCTGTTGTTAGGCACTTTTCCAAAGACCTTTTCCCAAGTGGCAACTTTCCAAAGGTAATTTTCCAAGTGACATCTTCCCAAATATGCAATTTCCCAAGCGGCAACTTCCCAAGTCTGTCCTAGCCGCAGCGATCCGCCCCCTATCCCATCCTAGCTACAGCGATCGGCCCCTATTCCATCCAAGTTGCAGCCTGCGGCGGCTTAGACGGCCTAACCTAACCATTGGGAAGTTGCCGCTTGGGAAATTGTACATTTGGGAAGTCGCCCTTGCGAAACTGCCTTTGGGAAAATACCCAACATCTTTTTTTATAAAATGAAGTCACTTTGATCTTTGAAAGTTTAAGGCCTAAGAGAAACAAGGGGAATTATAAAAAGGGGAGGGAGTGGGGAGGGGATTGATGCAGTTACTCGAGTCTTCGGTGGGATGGGGGTTTGCAGATTAAACTATTCCAATGTAGTACTTTAAATTAATGTCGCCATTAAAACATTTAACTCATTTGCATACTTGCTAACTGCACCAGATATCATTATATGTCCATAGGGATGGGCAATTTAGACTTTTTTGAAAAACATTCATTATGTTTTGTTAACGATGAAAAATAATCTAGAAATGAAAAGTTCATTTATGAAAAGTATCGTTTTTGAAAGGGATGAAACTAAGTTATGAAAAAGTTACGAAACGATCATTTTCGAAACAAATTGTTCCAGAAAACGATTGTCTTGGAATGAAAACGATCGTTTTGAAATAAACACCATTGTTTTGAAATGCAAACGATCGTTTTGAAATGCAAACTGTAGTTTTGATTGATCGTTTGGAATAAAACCGACAAATATGTTCGTTTTTACTTCAAAATTATAGTTTAGTCCTTTCGTTTTTAAAAGTTTAAAACTAACACTTCATTAGTTTTAACAATTCGTTTTTCTAAAAACGAGTGTTAAATAGTTTTGACTTATCCAAAATGAAACTAAAAACCAGATTTTGAAAACGATTTTTATCCCTATTATGTACATTCATTATTCTAAACTTTGCACTTTTGAACAAAACTGAACAGTTCACCGTTCATAGCTGTTCACTTGACTAAAGAAAAATAACTTTATTTCAAAGTTTGTTAATGTAAAAAAACACAGATTCAAATAAAGAGATTTACATGATATCAGAAGGAAAACGGAACACTTGCCTCAAACTCTATGTATGAAATATGCAGCCATCAGGTTGCAAAAATTATAGAGATTAGAAAGTTTAAGTTTGGGGTTAGTTTTGAATGCTTTAGATCGCCACAAAATCTAATTTTTTCCAATTTTTTTTTAGTTTTTTTTTATGAATGCTTTATAAATATTGACCATGGCACCTGTAAAAGAAAAAATGACAATTTGGATAAAATTGCAGTTTCCAAATTCGTTGAACTTTGAACCCTAACAACTTATTTTTTTAATGAAATAGGGGACAAATTCAAAATTTATTTTCCAATAAAAATCATTTAATTTCCCCAATTCAGCGTTTAAAAACCCTAAACAACCTTACGGGGAAAGATTATTTTTAAAAGGGGGAAATGATTTTTCAAGAAAATATACACCCCCTCAGTTATTCTAATCATGGCAGCCATTGATATTGTTAATTACGAAATGAACACAGAATCAAATCAAAGTTTAAAATATCAAAGGTTTACACTATCAGGTTTCTATGATATAGGGATTAGTCTACTTTCTAATCCATGGATGCTGGAATCTTTTGATATAAAATATTATGACATCTTTGACAGAAATAATCCATTAAATTATTAATTAATTAATCATTATTCATTTCACTGACAATCTTTTCAACAGTAGCTTACAGATTTCATTATTTTTAATTTTTAAAAATTATTTTTAAATTTTTTTTTTTTTGGTTGAAACTTTTCAAGTTAAAACTGATTCTTTGTATTCGTACAAAATAACGATGTTCTCGTTATTTCAGAAATNAAAAACATATATAGTTGTTATGCCACTTCTAAGAAAAAGTTTAAAAAGTACAATTGTGAACTGCTTAATTCTATATGTAAGGAGAAAATTGTTAAAAACGACTTATACTGAAGAACGTAGCGTCCATATACATTCAGAAAGTTGCAATATACGACTTGTATCGCAAAATAATCAATTTAATTTCAAGCAAATCATTCAGATATTACAACCTATAGTTATCGATTATTTCTCGACGCATTCGTATGTAATTAATATTCAATATTAATTTTGTATACAATGCACTTAAAACGCCGAAATAGTTGGCCGCCAGATGTCTCTGCTCTCGATACTTTGAATGATTACACGTAGCAGAGGCACCTAGCGGAAAAAAGTCGTTGTAAGTGCATTGTATATAACACAAATAACAAATATTATGAAATATTAACTAAGTTTAACTATTTTTCAAAAGAAATTCACCGTATTAAAAAAAACAGAAAATGCAACAAAAAATTTGATATTCTGAAGGAAAGCTGGGAGAATGAAATTAAGTTTAATATTGGATTAGTGTTGCTAGAGGAGGAAAAAAATCTGAACTAATAACGCAAATAATGCTATTAATATTCCAAGATTACTACTCTACGAAAACAAGGAAAACTTATCTAAAACCTAGGAAAACCTCTACAAAAAACAGAAATAACTCTCTCCAAAAACCAGGAAAACTTCTTTAAAAGAACAAAACAAAAATGCTACAAAAACAAGAAAACCCTCTCGCCAAAAACCAGAAAAACTACTTTTCAAAAACCAGGAAAGCTTCTTTCTAAAAACCAAGAAAACTGTTACAAAAACCAGGAAAACTACTCTCCGAAAACCAGGAAAACTACTCTCCGAAAACNTTAGTTGAATGCCTCCGAAAACCAGGGAAACTACTCTCCGAAAACCAGGAAAACTACTCTCCGAGAACCAGGAAAACTACTCTCCGAAAACCAGGGAAACTACTCTCCGAAAACCAGGAAAACTGCTCTCCGAAAACCAGGAAAACTACTCTCCGAAAACCAGAAAAACTACTCTCCGAAAACCAGGAAAACTACTCTCCAAAAACCAGGAAAACTACTCTCCGAAAACTAGGAAAACTACTCTCCAAAAACGAGGAAAACTACTCTCCGAAAACCAGGAAAACTACTTTCCGAAAACCAGGAAAAATGTCTGAAACTCTGAATGGAGGATTTAGTTAAAATCAATGAAAACTGAGAATCTGCACCACCACTAAAATAAAAGAAAAACGAAAAGAGTTCATACTTAGTGTTATCCTACTCATTTTTGTTTATAGAAAATTTTAATTTTGTTAAAAAAAAAGCGATATTTCAATCGACAATACTAATTCCATAGTACATTGTCTGTTAAAATTCTAAGATGGAGGGGGGGGGGGGCTTGGGATAAAGTTAAATAAAAAGTAGTTTAAAAAAAACTCATTTGTGTTAATCATCAACTTTCTCCAGATTCAACGATAAACCATATATTTTCCAGTTCTACGCAAACAATTCCTACAGACCTGTCGGATACTGGAGGAAAGGTAACTTCAAAAACGAGGAAGGATGATTAATTAATTAATTTAATTAAAGATGACAATGTCCGATTCACAATAGTACCATGTAAACCTGTATCTGATTAATAATGTGGTAGATATCGTTGATTTTCCTACTTGAAAAGTATTTCCTCCAATTGTTTGTGCCGCAGAATTCTGAAAATCATTTTGAGAAAGAAAATAAAATAAATTACAAAGCTGAGCTGAACACGTGGATAACACATTCATTCTTGATTACACAAAGCTTCTAAGGGTACCATTGTGAATTGGACATACCAATCTAATTAAAAATCAAGTTCCATGAACACTACCTGTAAGCTGAACTGATAGGGAAGGTTCTTGAACATTGTTGGTCAGGATAAGGAGGGGATTCGTCCTCATCTACACAAAAATGGGTTTTTAAAATAATATAAAAAAAGAAAAAATTATTTTTAAGAGATAAAAAAATGTTAATAATTGTAGTTCTCTGTATTTGTAATTATCAATTAGNTTTCGTAAAATTGCAGGTTCAACAAGGTCTTATCTAGTCTAGATTGATTTTAAATTTAATATCTTGAGTTTAAAATTATATATTCTGTTCACAATACAGCAAAAGAGTTTAAGTTTTATGAATTATTTCCATATTTCTGTCAACTGGATTTGGTTAGTAAGGCCACCAGATGACTCAGGAGGTAAGTCATTGAAATAAGAAACTATGCCATTTTGAGAAAAGTTGATTGTAAATAATTAAAATAAAAAAAAAACATATATAGTTGTTATGCCACTTCTAAGAAAAAGTTTAAAAAGTACAATTGTGAACTGTAATCATAAATAATAACGACAAAAAAAGAATTTAGGTTATGAACATGGGGTGGGGGGGGGGATTGGGGGCGGGTAGATGGCATAAGAGAGGGGGAATGTTCAGTGTAAAATGCATCAAATAAATCCTCTAAATTCAAGGAAAATGAAACGTTAATATTTTCAAAGCAACCAAGAAAATTGCATTTCTGAGGTAAAAATTTGATTTTAATCTTGAGTGTGTGAATTTTCAATCTCTCTACTGGCACTTTGTTTCTTTTTCGCCTGTAAGGCAAGGCTAGCAAATTTTCATAATTTTCAATAATTATTAGGCACAATTTTAATTTTGATCTGGTTTCTCTTTAGCAATTCATTTCATAAAATAAATTCTTCCTTATTAAATAATAAAGTGTTACTCTAAACTAGATATTTGGAAGATGGACAATCTATTTGATAACGTAATTTAGTATTTGACACAAGCTCAAATTACTAGTCCCTATATCTTTGCAACCTGATGGTGTAATTCTTTGTTATTACACAGATGTCGGGTTTAGAAAATCAGGGTTTGAAAGTTACATTTTAGACCTATAAAGCACTTGTTTTTGTTTAAGTGTTTTAATAGGAAATAACAAAATTCTCATTAATTTTTGCGCAAGCGCTTATAACCATTAGATGACTGTGTAGTGTATGTGCTGTTCATTTATCACATTATATATTTGTTAATTGTTTAAATGTTTACAAAGGGTTTCTATTTCAGTAGAGATAAAGCATATTAACTAACACAAACATAAACTTTATCAACTAATTATCATCTCAATTCTTACAAATATATATAAACTCTACGGGTGTCTAATGAAACATGGCAATTTTTAAATAGATGGAGAACGACAGTGTAAAACCTTAAAACCAAAAAATATACAATTCACATAGTCCCGACATTTTCCAAATTGTGGTCTGCCCTTTTTTGATCAAAAACAACAGGAAAGGGACTCATTTGACGCGTCTCCAAACTCAAAGTTTCGATCTCCCCCCCCCCCCCTTCAGACACTCAACATAGATATAAAATATTTATGGCTTTCAGCAATGTGCATACTTTTGTCTGAGTTATTTTAACTTTGTCATTTTATGAGCCGATAAAGAAATATCCCGGCCGCGTCGTATTTAAATGGCTCTAAAGTGCATAACCATAACAAATTAAGAAAATAGACTTTTTACACGAAGACAAACTGAATAAGGTTTACCCTCCTGGCCAGTCAAACGCATAGGATTCGAACCTATCTGAATTGGCGCCGAAATCCAGATCAGGAGCCATTTTTTGCGGGACGGATTCTATCCGTAACCCTGGAACTCAGTGCAATCATCATAAATATCAAATAAGATTTTTTAAACGAAGAAAATATAAAAATATTCATCAATCAAAACTAACCTTGTCCCATCTCGTTCGTGCATGGTTCCGTAGGTCTGGTGGGAGTGTATAATTCCGCCATTTTTAATTCTTGCTGTCGTACATTTTGTTTCTTATTCGCGGATTTACATCGTGGTGCATGTTTCTACCAATATAACTGGAAATACTCCGATATTTCCATGCATGGGGAAACAATCACTTAATATACTCGCGATAGCATCGTTCTGGTTTCTAAAAATAAAACTGATTATTTAAAAATAATTTCTAAAATTGATTTTTAAACTACGGGTTCTCGGAACCTATCAATTTTCTAACCGATTAGCTTACGCTCCGAAAATGATGTGGGTCATGAAATGGGTTTTAATGCCACGTTTACGCTTTAAATCACTAATCTATGATACCCTAGATGGAATATACACACTGTGTTCCAACCAACCACTACATAAAACTAGTCACTTTAAATGCATTTCATGGTTTAACGACTAAATACCACGATTTTTACAACGATGCGAGGTAAAATATCTGAAACCATATTTTACCTCAAAATATCCTTATATTTGACTTAAAGGGACTTAAAGAGGGTGACCGGCAATGTATGGTAGTTAAACTCAGAATGTAGTATTGTGGATAATTCTTTTAGGATTCATTTGAGACTTTAGAAACGTTTTAATGATGTATAATTACCGAGTTTGAGCGCAAAGTCGACATTCAAAATTATCCATTTAGGTGGTTACGATTCTAGAATCGATTTTTAATAATTATTAAAAACGATGACAAAAATTGTAAAACAAAAATTCTTCAGTAATTAATTAGATGTTTAAGAAATTTTCTCAATAATTCAATGTTAGAATCAATTATTTATTTTTCTTAATTATATTGAATTTCTTATTCTTTATGAATTTGTTCGCAGATTTCTTTATATTCTTTAGATGTCGTCTGTTCAATAAAAATTACAGGAATATACAGAAAATGTTTGTGAACAATGAAACATTACAGAAACCAATAACTAAATAAGATTACTTATTTTCGATGATAATCAAAATTAAGAAAGACGTATATTATTTCTTTAACACGATTTTGGATATCTAAAATGAGTTTCTCCTAAACATTACTGAGTATATATTTCTTGAAAAAAAATCTGACCCCCCTCCCCCCCTTTTAAAACACTTCTAAAGCCTTAAGATAGCAATGGAGCATTGAACAGATTAAAATACGTCAGTCAATGACGTAGAAAAACATGTGTTGGTTTTATAGTTTGTTCAAAGCTTAATACGTAGAATAGGTTATCTTATCATTTTTTAAAAACTCTAATATTTTAAAACGCCTGTATTCTACTTCTAGGCCCGCCTAACTGCATTTTCAGGGGTTAATAAATACACACAAAATAATTTCCTCATTCTTAAATTAAGATTTTTATATAATTTTAAGATTTTATATTTGAAGATAAAATTTTAACCCTTTGTCTCCCCCCTGAAAAAATACAAATGCATAGTGCTTAAAAAGGCCTAGAGGCCTATACAGCTATAAAGCATCTTCACGCTCTAGTATATATATCTATATAATAAAACATTCATATGTATATATATATATAGCCGGCCAAACGACTGGACCGATTGGGCTGACATTTTTGTGGACACCCATGGGTGGCTAAAAAAGGCAAAAAAAAATTTATCCACGGGCAACGCCGGGCCTTCCGCCTAATAAACATTATATATATATATATGTATATATAAACAATATAGGTATAAATATTGGACAATATAGGCATAGATATTGGACAACATAGGCATATATATTAGAAAATATAGGTATAAATATCAGACAATATAGGTATAAATATCAGACAATATAGGCATAGATATAAGACAATATAGGTATAAATATCAGACAATACAGGTAATGATATTAGACAATATAGGTATAGACATCAGACAATAAAGGTATAAATATCAGACAATACAAGTAATGATATTAGACAATATAGGTATAGACATCAGACAATATAGGTATAGATATTAGACTATATAGTTATAGATATTAAACAATATACGAATAGATATTAGACTATATAAGTAAAGATATTAGACAATATATGTATAGATATCAGCCAATATATGTATAGATAATAGACAATATAGGTATAGATATTAGACAATATAGGTATAGATATCAGACAATATAGGTATAGATATCAGACAATGTAGACATAGATATTATATGGATAGATAATAGACAATACACTGATAGGCTAGCCAATCAACAAACAAAAAAGAAAAGGAACAGAAGTTAATTCAATTTTAGTTTGAAGGTTTTCCAAAAAAAACCCTCTCGTTTGTAATAAGTAAGAGCTTCGAGGTAAAAGAAAATCGTTCCAGTTATTCCACTTCAATTTCCACACAAAACATAGTTAACCAACAGACACAGACAATAGATACATAGATAAACAACAGACATAGTTAAACATATGCATAGAAATCTATACCATAAAACTCTTCCCTCATGTATATAATTACATTATATATATTTATGTAAGCTAAGTACGTGGGCAAAGTGTTGGACCAAGTTAGCTGAACTTTTTTTTGACGAACCCCGCTGGCACCCTGGGGGTAACATAGGCTAAAAAGATTCGATTTTTAATTTTTTTCAAATTTGATTTTTTATTCTTTTTATTATTTTGAATTTCACGGGCAACACGGGCACTAAAGCTCGAAAACAATAAAAATAAACAACACACTACGTTCTATGACGTCAAATAGGGAGAAAATATATTTCCGAAACTGAATAATCTTCTGTGAACAAAATGACAAACGTAAAATACTAAAATATATCTAAACCTTTAATAGCCTTAATTAAACCATTTATTTAACTGCGACAATGTTCAGGCCAATTTCAAGCCATTAGTCAATAGTTTAATAAGAGTTCTATTAAACCTACTAAATCAATAGAACTTGACAAATCAACTCTGCTAATACATAAATCATAATATCGATTTATAACACTGTTATTTTGGTTCGCGGTGTTATAAAGTTTTTGGACAGAAATTTTCTCTTTATTGAGAATCTAAAAAGGCGAGAACCCTTCGAGAAATAGAGAAAATTAAAGTCCCAACTTTATAGCACGTCGTGTCACAATTATAGTGTTATAGGGGTAATCTTATGAAACGTTTGTGTATACTTGTCTTATTTCAATGGTTATTTCTAGATTAAATAAGCTTTGAAACAAAGCAGTAGTCAACATATAAAGTTGATTTCAATTTTTATTTTCATTTTAATTAATTTTAATGAGAAATGTAATTTTTTTATGATCACCCTGTACAAATAGAGACAGACGGTAGAAAGATAGATAGGCAAATAGATATATAGATAGATAGATATTTATATATATATAGACAGATATAAAGATAGATATATATATATATAGATATATAGATAGATATAGATAGATATATATTTAGATATATAGATAGATATATAGATAGATATAAAGATAGATATATAGATAGATAGATAGATAGATAGATAGATATATAAATAGATAATTGTAGGGAATAGATTTATGTGCTAAAGCAACCAAGGTCTTTTTATCCGAAGCAACCCTTCCACACATCAAATTCAACTCATAAAATTTCTTTCATACTCATTTCAACTCAAAACAATTCATTTCTAACTCACTTTCCACACTTATATACTAGTTACTAACTCACTCACTCACTTTACATAGATCCAGATTGTTAAGAAAAGCACCACTTTTAAAGACTGAGTCGACTTTCAAGTGTCACAACGCCTTGTCCTTTAATTTGACCTCACTAACTCACTTATACGTTTCTGTATCCCTCAGAAATCTAGATTGTATTTTATATTTGCAAAACTCTCATCGATTTTAGCCTGAGAGCTTGGAACCTTCAGATCACTGTGACTCACGTATGTTAAAAGGGAAAAAATCTTGAAAAAACAAATATGCGTCAACAAGTAAACATTAGATACGTAAATATTAACAACAAAATTGGACATTCAACAAGAAAGAAAAGAACACATTTGCGTTTACTGCTTGCGGAAGTTGTGAAAATTAATTTTGCAGCATTTCGCGCATTTATCCGGGCTTCCGACTTGGCATCCGGTTTATAGGAATTTATAGATAATATATGATTGCGGGGGGGGGGCCTTTGAACATAAATCAAACCCAACTTTAACCCATTCAACTTGAGGTTTCCCACAAAACAATCCAAGACCGGATTTTTGACAAACACAGAAAAAAAAATCACTCGTTTCTTTTTAATTATGAGGACTGTGGTTTAATTTTTAAAGATTCAGTGGAAAAAAGAAAGAAAAAAAAATTTATGTTATTTATTTTATTAAGTTAAAAAGTTAAAATTCCAACCAAAAAAGGTATTTAAGATTTAAGACGGATTTTAAATCTGCTGTAGGCAGGGTTGGCATGAAAAAACCCCAACTCAATAAAACACACAAAAAACCAATAAAACCCACTTTAAAAAACCATTTGTAAGTGGGTTTTAAATCCCACTTTAAAAAACCCATCTGTAAGTGGGCTTTTTTGGGTTTTATCGGGTTTTTTTTTCTCGAATTTTTCAAATTATTGTCTTCTTTTCACTCTTATAATGATAAACTCTTCAAAAATAAGATTCTACTACAGGGTGTCCCACGAAACATGACAGTTGGTGAATTAGTTTAGAATGTCTTCTTCCATAATTTGTTGAGTTGTTTTATACCTAAGAAAATAATAAAAATATTTTTTGAGAATCATGTTCTAGAATAATTGATTTCAAAGTAAAATATATTTAAACTAAAGATTTTTCTAAGCCTTTAATATCTAATACAGTATAGGGAAGACGACATTCAGAACTATTTATCAACTGTCATGTTTCGTGGGACACCCTGTATCTTCTGTGCTGATTTTTAGTGAGTTTACAGGAATAAAACTGACACTAATATTCTTTTCTCATGAGTTATCAAAATATGTTGCGATAGAATAAAGATATGAAATCCCTTTAGCATTCTTATGAGTGTGTGATCTGAAGTTTTTCGGTATTTAACAGTGGTCTTCCTTCTTGAGCATACAAATATCTAGCGATTAATCTGAGTAGCCCCACACCCCAATCATAGGTTGCACTAACCCAAGGATACATAGGTAGGATAATTATACCACTATGCGCTCAATTCACGGCGCGCGCTCAGAATAGGCTTCAAAGCTTGCTCTGGAGATTTCTATTTTTC